CTACGCACAATACATAATGGTTTTCGTGCAAGCAAAGATCTTTCTGCCAACATGCTGGAAGCAGCTACACTGACTGTCTCACTTCTCAGGATTCTCTGAACACACACAAGGCCAGTCCCGGAGACATCAATGAATTCTTTGTCTGTTTATAGACATTAGGTCGAACATTACATAATACAACACAAATCAAGCAACTAGGTAAAATCTCTGAGGTGTTGATGTTACCATACTACGGCAATCGTTCAACTCACTCTCAGTCACTCATGAAAGATACAATGTAGTGGGTGATATCTTAAACATCTGACTCTTTACAACAAAATTATATTCCAGTCGCTTGATGAATTTTATACCACATTCAGGAGAGAAGGTTACTGGTTACCACTGTTTGGTGCTACCAATGACATTCTGTATAATGTCCTTAGGCCACACCAATTTAATTTCTTGGCTAACGGATTCGCCCGCTTCATTTTTTTCTGATTTGACAAAAAAAAAAAAAATTACAGAATCAACTACAAAATGCTCATATTTTGCCCTGAACAGTTGAAAACAGTCCTTTTCATCCTAGTTGTTACAGTTATTCAATCTTTCAATGCAATGGTATCATTAAAAGTTCAAAATTCATTGTTTAAATTTTGAACCAGCCTGGTGTGTTGACTTCATGGCTCCTATCATTCCATTTTGGGCCATAATAGGATGCCTAGGCCTGTTTTTATTTAATTTTTTTTCGCCCGCCCGCTCCATTATTTTTCTAGAAAAATCCGTTAACCAAGAAATTAAATTGGTGTGGCCTTAGTGCTACAAGGGTACATGTAGGTAAATACAGACAGGATACTATGAAATAAAGATTAAGCTTCAACTACCACCACTTAGACTACAGAAAATGGGACTTACCCCAAATTTTTGGTTGAAAATTTCCATCAACCTTGTTCACAGAATGGACCTGTCTACTCTTGGAATGTGACGTCAGAGACACGTGACCGCAGTAGCGGTTCATACGTGCCAGATAACTTGTGTCGCCCCCCGTCTCTGTTCAGGGTAGGTTCCAAGAGTAGATGGATCCATTCCGTGAACAAGGTTGATGGAGTCAACTGAAAATTTGGGTAAGTCCCATTTCTGTAGTCTAAGTGTTGGAAGTTACAGCTTAGGCCACACAAATTTAATTTCTTGGTTAATGGATTCGCCCGCTTCATTTTTTTCTGATTTGCAAATAAAAATAAAAATTCAGAATCAACTGCAAAATGCTCATATTTTGCCCTGAACAGTTGAAAACAGTCCTTTTCATCCTAGTTGTTACAGTTATTCCACCTTTTAATGCAGTGGTATCATTAAAAGTTCAAAATTCATTGTTTAAATTTTAAACCAGCCTGGTGTGTTGACTTCATGGCTCCTTTCGTACCATTTTGGGCCATAATAGGATGCCTGTTGTTTTTTTTTTTCGCCCGCCTCCATTATTTTTCTAGAAAAATCCATTAACCAAGAAATTAAATTGGTGTGGCCTTAGTGCTACAAGGGTATACATGTAAATACAGACAGGATACTATGAAATAAAGACTAAGCTTCGACTTCCACCACTTTAGACTTACCCAAAATTTTTGGTTGAAAATTTCCATCAACCTTGTTCGAGGAATGGACCCGTCTACTATTGGAACGTGAGTCGACAGAGACACGTGACCGTAGTAGCGGGTCATACGTGCCAGATAACTTGTGTCGCCCCCCGTCTCTGTTCAGGGTAAGTCAGGGTAGGTTCCAAGAGTAGACCGAAAATTTGGGTAAGTCCCACTTCTGTAGTCTAAGTGTTGGAAGTTAAAGCTTAGTCTTTATTTAATAATGAACTTTCATGCCACAGACAGGATACCTTGATGTCATTGTTAAAACCTCAAAAGAGCTATTCTACCAAAGTGCTATGCACATTACTTATTTTGCACAGGCGCACATAGTTTCACTTTTAACTCACTAGACATCCACAGATACAATGTAGGTGGGCACATCCTAGAAGTGATACTATATTTATTATAGCACAGATGCACAGCCAGAATTCTAGAATACACGCACAGTAATTATTAGAGAACATAAGGTATTATAAGTTTTAATATGTAGCGTATACATGTATGTACATGTAGCTTTTACTGTAACATACTGTAACTATACTCATTTAGTGGAATGATATTCTCATTTACTTATTGCACAAGTTTCATAATAAAATACACTTACAAAACATTTTGTAACTGTCTATGATATGGTATCATTATACAGTCAACTAATTAAATGCATTCAACTAATTAAAATTACTGGCACAAGGTATTTTAAGAAATATCAACTGATGCTTCCATTCTCATTATGAAAGTTTTTGTTCCACATATTTCCTGTCATATAGTATGTAATTATGTATATTACATATTTATTGTATTCACAGCAGAGGCAGCATTTTAAACAAGCATAGATTAGTGGACTAAGTATAGTTAAAGATTCTGAAATATTGCTTACATTTCCACAATTGCTGAGGCTACACGAATTTAACTACTTGGTTAACGGATTCGCCCGCTTCATTTTTTTCTGCAAAATGCTCATATTTTGCCCTGAACAGTTGAAAACAGTCCTTTTCATTCTAGTTGTTATAGTTATTCGATCTTTCAATGCAGTGGTATCATTAAAAGTTCAAAATTCATTGTTTAAATTTTGAACCAGCCTGGTGTGTTGACTTCATGGCTCCATTATTTTTCTAGAAAAATCCGTTAACCAAGAAATTAAATTGGTGTGGCCTGATTAAACAATAATGACAGGTACACAAACTATACCGACTCAAAAGTGGTCATAAGATCGTGGTTATACAGCTGTATCATGCAACTATACTGACCTTCATGTACGGATGTGGGTTTTTTTTTCGTGTTTGCTTGTATTTGCTGTAGTTATTACCACATGTATGGCATAATGGAGACACTCAGATTTAGGTCAAAGGTCCCAGAAAAGGTAATCTGTGTTCCATTTTTATGCCATACCCATAATTGTTGTCTAATTGATGTAAGCCAGTGGGAAAATCCATGGACGGAATGATCGAGAAATTCACAATGATTATTAAGGAATGAAAAAGTAAGACCTAACAAAAAAATCTAACAAAAAGATCGGAGGTACCATGGAGGGTTCCTTTTGCAATCTTTGGCCTCCTGAATTTCCCCGTGTCCACTTCTAATACATCCTGCCTCCCAGGGTTTCCTCAGTGTACGACCTTAAGCGTGTGGTCTGTCATTCTGCCTATCAATCTTCCACCCACGTGGTGTCAACCAACATTGCGGGATAAACTGACATACATTGCCTCGACAGCATCTATACAACATTTCTTCAAAATATGACTGTTGGAAACATGCTAGCTAAAATCAAAATTCTTTATTGAACAAGCAATGTTTTGAATCCCGCATGCCACGTTTAAGCTACGGTCACAACCCGCCGTACGTGCTTCAGCGTGCTGTCTACCTGCAAAAACGTGGGCAAACGTAGGGCATCCGTGCGTGGTGAATGCCGCCTCCGTACACGCCGTAGAAGTTTAAGTGCATGTAAAACTTTTTCTGCGTGCGGTCTGCGGATTCACCACCCGTACGTGCGAGTGCAAGCGACGCGCGTGCCCCGTACGTGCCGTGCGGAAGAAGCACGTGTGAGTGCGGCCTCCTTACGGTAATATAAAGTTGCAATCGCACAGAGATCGTACGTTGTAAGCACGTACAACTCACTTATCACTTGCGCAACGTACGATGCACGCAACCGCTCACGGCCAGACGTGGCGTGCAGACCACACTCTTACACTTTGTGCAACCGTGCGAGTGACGTGCGTAGACGCCACTCCTTCCCCACGTTTTCAGAAAAAACGTTGCAGACGTAGCCTCCCAAAAAACGTATGGAGAAAAAGCACGTACGGCGGACTGTGACAGAGGCTTTAGATGGCCAAACCGTGAACAGAAAAAGAACTTTCTGCAGTTCCCCTGGGGTAACGAGAGTGCTGTCACATGATGATATTAACTAAAACAAGTTGTTACTTCTTAGAATGCTGCCCCCAATGTGGCCCCCGGGAAACACTTTTTTAAAAAATAAATAACCTTCTAAGTCAGAACATTTTAAAGGAATGACGTCAGTTGGATATATATCCACGTTACAAATGAGTAGATTGATGTGTGTAGTTTTGGATCCGAACGTGTACTGTTAGGACAGAGTCATAATCTGGATCCAATGCGGTTCCAACGCTTTCGTCTGAACAAGCTTAAGGTCAAAGTTCTGATTGAACATCTGATTTTGATAAATAGAATAGGCATACTGGATGTAGTACTGGCAGGATAGTCGATAATAGTAATAAACTTATATGGGCTCCATGATCCAAAACAGTGCCGCCAAAAGTGTTCGTTGTATAACTATCTTAAATATGCCATTTCAACGTATTGAAAGTCCACGGCACATTTAAGAATATTACAAAATACGCACCAGACACATTTTGGGACTTTGAAAGTTTTGCAACGCCCAATTATGCTATTCCATCGTATTCCACAGGAGGAGTATATTTCGGCATATCCCAAAATGCACTCTCCATACAGACGGAGGTTTCGGGCGATGGTTATATCATTTGTTTGAATATTTTTTTAGCCTTCTCTACGATGTTATGTTTGCCTGGTTGTTGTGGCCGCGATTTCTTTCATTTTCCTTCCTCACAGCCACTGCTAGGGAAACATAGGATCGTATAGGCAAGCTCAAGGCCACATCGAAACATCGAAAACGACTCAAAATATTCTTGTATAATATAGAAGAAGAAGGCCTCCCATGCTCTTAATAATATGCAGAGCGTAGGGTGGTGCCTATCTCCATTTCTGTAGCCCTTGGGCCACACACAGTTGTGCAGGGCACTACAGCAGGGGGCTGGTCCGCTGTTTGACCTTTCCACACTCTTTCTCATATGTGCTACATGTAAGTGCTAAGCAGAGAAAGAAGTGTGTACCATTTTGTCTTTGGTATGACCTGGCTGGGGTTTGAACTCACGACCTCCCGGTTACAAAGCGAGCACTCTACCAATTGCACCGGATAATATAGAAGGAGGAAAATGTGCATATTATGTTTTAGAACTATATTAAAAATGTTTAAGTTGTTGGAAGGACACTATAGAATGTCCTTGGTTGTTGCAGAGAAAGGTCTGCTTGGTTCTAACACGTGTGGCCATCACGTGCCCTCCTCCATGTTGTTGACGTCATTTTCGTACTGGACGGTTTTGTTCTTGTGTGGAGAAGCCGCCATGTCGCCACAGTACCCGGAGTCCTTGTCTTCAGCCAGGGTCTTACTGGTCATGCACTGTGGGGAGAGATGTATCTATTAGATACATTGCCCACTAATGGGAATCCTAACTAGAGAAGTAACATTTGCAAAGCAAATACATAATGTTTACCTTCGGACATAGTCTGCCCTGTTAATTTTTACTTTAACACATTCACATACAATGTACATGTACTACAAGTATATGGTGACAGGAGTAGAGCAGACCATGAAATTGCAACATTATGTAACCCAACACCAGTCACCATGGTGACAGGCGTCAACAAATCATATCATTGGTCCGGTCAGAGGTCAGTGTTTGGAACAGAAGAGGAGTAGGAAGAAACTGAGTAAAAACAATATGTTTTCCTTCGGTAAACATAATCAAACAAACTATTGATTCACTAGTGTTCTTCCTAGAGTTCCTGCAAGGGTGATGATACAAGTCAATAGAGAAGTAAACAAACCACTAGAGTACCCAAAAAACCCACTAGAGTACCCAAAATTGAACTTGACCTTCCTTTTCCCAACCTCATCCTACCTACCAAATATCATAAAGATACATGCACCACACCCCAAGTTATAACCGATTACAAAATCAGCAACCCCTTTGTATGGTGTACCTAAACACATAACCTTCTGACGAAGGTAATAAAGAAGTGAACTATCATTTCTGTTGCATGCCCCATTCTAATATATGATTGTTTTACAAGAATGAAAATTAAGGTAGAAATACATCTCTTCATTCAACTTACATGTCCCTTCCGGTCAGCCATTGGTAGGTAGTTGGCTTCCGTCTCTATGGCAACCTGATCCTTCTCCTCTGCATCATCCGTGACGTCAGAGTTCTCACTCCCGGCATCCTCTTCCTTGGTCATGATGACGTCATCGTCGGCGCCGATGTCCCGGCTGTAGTTCCGTTCGTCTCCCATCGGGATAGCCTGGAAATGGGAAATTGGAAATTTCGAGTCAGGTAGTCCTAAAGCCCCAGTCAGGCATTAACGACTTTGCCTCCAACCAATCCCCAACGAACCAAAATCTGATATTTTATACCTCCGGGCTTTTTATTGTATATTTTTACCTCCATGAAAAATGGAGGTATTGTTTTTGATGTGTCTGTCTGTATGTCTGTCTGTCTGTCTGTGTGTCTGTGTGTCTGTCTGTCTGTGTTTCCGCAACTTTGTGGTCAGCATAACTTCAGAACGCCTTCATGGATTATGATGATATTTGGTATGTTGGTAAGTCTTAGGAAGACAAACGTCAAGGTCAAATATGGGCCTCCTGGAGGATGACCTTGGTACTGCAGCAGAACTTCCGGTTTTGGTGTCTTTTGTCCTGAACATGCTATGGTCTTGATGATTTGGTGACAGATTGCTTTTCCTGTCAGGAATAAGTGGTGTGAGTTTGGTCCCCCTAACAGCTTGTTCTGGAACTGCAGGGCACTTTCTGGCGAAATGTTTAAAAGCCAATAAGTCCAGATAGGAACAACATATTTTCATAATTTTTGGTGTGTAGGTGGCTGAGAGAGAGATGTACATGATTAAATGCAAATTATGCAAATGAGGACTTTATTTGCATAATTAATGAAGAAATTCTATGATTACAGTGTTTTACATTATCCTACTTTCATACATGTAATGTATGTAACCTATGACAGGCAGAACATCAACAGATACTAATTATGCAAATGATGACCTAATTTGCATAATTTATGCAAAAATTCTATGATTTCTTAATGGTGAATAATGGACATGTCATACTTGGGACATCTTTAAGTTAATCAAAAGTTAACATACATCACGGTGCATATATCATGTTAATGCGGAGGTAATTTGCATAATTAAAGAGGAAATTTACATTTACATATCAAGCCCATATTTCATGGAGGTATGAAATCTCGGAATTCTTGTTATATAGGGTTTTAAACAAAGAATTTATCGTGACCGGACACCCCTCTGTGTGAGGGGTCATATACGTGGACCAGACCGAGAATAGCTTAAACACGCCAAAGGTTAACGGTCGCGACCACTTTCACGCTCAAAGGGGTATTTGGGCCCACCAAAAGGCACCATTATATTTTCACGCCCGAAAACACATATACAATAAAAACAAAAGAATGTGCACTATCTGCAGCCCAATAGCAAAACATACACTGAGTCCCAAAAAAATCCGTCCACCCAAACGCGATAAACAGCTGCGAACATGAAAATCTAAATCTCTCACAAAACCTTTCCGCGGAAGGATGTCTCCTCCCCCGGAGGTAAAAATAACGCCGACGCCCAACAAGTCTGCGAAGGAGGCTAGCAGACGACCACGTACCTGCAGCACTCGGGTATAATCCGCGTCGAAGTTCAGAATGGCGTCGAATTCGTTGAAAAGGTCACTGAAGGACGGACGATCAACCGGCTTCCACTTCCAGCACCGCTTCATCACGTCATACCTGCGAATAAAAAAAAAACAATTATCATATAGCCGGGTGACGTTGACCAATCAGAAGGCTCCATCCCATAAAATATGACGCCGTAATGTCACAAATAGAGTCAAAACCGGGTCATTATTCATCCCAATCCATCCAAAACATCCAATAATCACCCGCATATGACCTCAGGTGACCCAAAAAGAACACCGCTCTGTTCTAAAAAATCCAAAGTTAACTTGAGTTGTGTTCCAATGACCTCGGGTGACACCCATAAGAACACATATTCCCTGCCTGTGACCCAAATAGAACATGCCCCCTTCCGATCGCGATGTTCCGGTGAACTCATATAAACCCGATGGAACAGGTAAAATCGATTACACCGTAAGGGCATACAATGGACAACGCGATGTCAGAATTTTTCCTTCGAAAACTGACTGACGCCAATTTAGACTCAATATATGCGGGTCCTTGGAATAGGGGAAAGCGGACAGGAACAGCGGCTAGTGGATGGGAAGATAGGGGAGTGACTGTAACGGTTTGTTACATAATTTAAGTTTGTATGTGTTATACAGGAATGTGTCACTCTTCACTGTGTCAGTTTGAATAGGCTATATGATAATAGCGTTAATGGTGCGAAGGTGCAGTACGTTCTGCCGGCGTGCTATTTGGAAGCGTTACTCACAGCAGGATGCTACAGTCGTCCGGCCTCTCCATGCGGTAGCCGTTCTTTAGCTTCTCCATGATCTGCCGCATGGTCATGCCTGGGTACGGGACGCCACCTAGCGGAAAATGATGGTAATGAAATGAGCTTTCTGCGAAATCTTGTGAACAAATGTTTCACTAGCGTTTGACATTTGATAGCGTGTCTTTTGAATCTTAAAGGCATCCGATGAAATTTCAGGGTAGCAAAACAGAAAATATTCTGGTTGAGGAAATCTAGTTGGTATTGAACTGCATTAGAAGGCCATTGGCATTTGTAAATACCTGGCTAAAAACATGTTTCCTTTATAAGTGCTGTTACAATGATGTGCTATGGTCAATACTACTGTATGACACTCCTAGAAGTAAAATGAACATCAACATACCCAGCGTCACCAGTTCATATAGCAAGACTCCAAAGGACCACCTGGAATACACCGAGGGTATTGTCAATACTACGGCAATTCACTTTAAACTCAAGTCACTTTAAATTCATGACAATTATATATGTACTAGGCAACAATTGTAGAATGTAGACCTTGCCTTTCTCAATGATCTTATTCTGTACATATGTTTTAAAAAATGTACCGAATTCTATCTGAACGATTGATAAATAGATATCTATATCAACTAAATAGATAATTTTTATTTAATAATAGTTATATTCGATAATCGCTAGCTAGGTTAAAATACAATGAGAGGAGGGATACATACACGTCACTCTTGATGGTGCACCGCCCCCCGCCGTATATCCTCTCCGGACTCACCCACTTCAGCGGAATCTTCCGCCCAACGTTTTCACGCATGTACCTGAAGAAAATAGAGCACACATTCAATAATCAATAGACAAATACCTCAGCACATTCTGGAGGCATTACATTAACCTAGTTTTTAAGTAGTTTGTTTTCTTTAGGTATAGCAACTAGATTTTGAGGTTTTATTTATTGTGTTTGTTACCACGCCTCCATTTATTTTTATCTGTCTCTGGCCATTTTCGTTGAGTTTGCCAATGCCAAAGTGGCCAATGCTGCGAGGCCAGGATTCTTGGTCGGCTCCGACTCGAGCATTGAAGTCTCCAAGCAGGTAAAGTTGCTCTGTGGCTGGGATCCCACTGATGGTTGTCTCGAGCTTCTCGTAGAACTCATCCTTGGTCTCAGTCGCAGAGCTCAGTGTAGGAGCATAGATGCTCAGGATGTTGACTGGACCGGAAGAAGTGGAGAGGCGAAGGGAGAGGATTCGGGATCTGGGTTCCACCATCTCCAACAACCTGTCCCTGGAGGCAGAGTTAAACAAACGCATCGGCAAAGCAGCAACAGTTATGGCTCGCCTTGGGAAACGCGTTTGGGACAACGCAATGCTGACCACCAACACCAAGCTAGTGGTATACAAGGCTTGCATACTCAGCACGCTCTTGTATGGCAGCGAAGCCTGGACACTGTACTCCCACCAAGAACGTCGACTCAATGCCTTCCACATGCGCTGCCTCAGAAGAATCCTGGGCATCAGTTGGCAGGATCGTGTCCCGAACAAGGACGTCCTGGCACAGGCCGGAATGACCAGCATGTACGCCTTGCTCAGCCAGAGGCGTCTGAGATGGCTCGGTCATGTTAGCCGAATGGACGATGGCCGAATACCGAAGGACGTGCTGTACGGAGAACTAGCAACCGGTGCCAGACCTGCGGGGAGGCCCGTCCTCCGCTACAAAGACGTCCTCAAGCGTGACATGAAGGCAGGAGGGATCGACCAAACAAGTTGGGAGACAGTGGCAGCCGACCGCAGCAGATGGAGGCAAGCTGTGAAGACAGGCGTCAAAACCAGTGAGAAGAGGAGAGAAGAACAGTGGGAGGAGAGAAGACAGCGTAGACGACAGAGACCAGCACAAACCTGCACACAACCAGACGTTTACACCTGTGTCAACTGCGGCAAAGTATGCCGCTCCAGGATCGGCCTCTACAGCCATAGCAGGCGATGCATGAAGACATCCTGACCCACGGCGCATACTCCATCGTCTCAAGAGACGGAAAGGATGCCAACAATTTATTTTTATCTGTCTGTTCGCAATGTGATATGGGCCACGGGCCTGAATTAAAGAATAAAAAAAAAATAAAAAATAAAAAAAAATAAAAAAATAAAAATAAAAAAAAAAAATACAAGAAGGTAAATGAACACCAATTATTCTAAGACGTGGACAAAATTCATGTACATGTCTCATAGGCCTTCGACTTTGATTTTTACCCACAATGCATCAAACTGCACACGTGTAAGGCAAACAAACAAGACGACAATAAGTAATATATTATGGATGACATCAGCGGGCGCATTAATTTCCCCCTGATTTTGGACAAAAAAAAAGAAATTTCGTTGCCCTCTGCATCAACATGCCGAAAATGGGCAAATATGTCGCCAGGCTGTTGCCTTGCTGGATGACAGATAAATGTGAAGAGAGGATACAAGAGAAGGCTCTGATTTATTGCTCTGTCTTTTACTTTGTTGCAGTGTAGTATTTACTTCCTTTATATGTGATGTTGCCACTGAATTTAAAAAAAAAATCTTGGTTTATGATCTCAAAATTCCTGGAAATGCACCACTTTTGTCTGCAGGAATTTCCTGGTCCCGAAAATCCCCGCACATGCGACCTGGAATTCGAAATTCCTGCAGCCGTCCCGGAAATTGTTGATGTGACCATCCGTGTATCACATCAGATTCAGTGCCTGCGGAGGATGTCATTCTATTTACAAATTTTCTCGAATCAATTACAACAGATTTCAAGAGTCTCGATGTTGGAGACAGATTCGAATATGTCTCATATAAAGGTCCCCACAACGCAAAAATAGGTAGATATGTAAATGAATGCTTTGCTATTAGAAAAAATACCGAAACTTGTGATTAGCCCATTCGACTGTAACACTTTGTCAAAGACTTGTGCTAGCCCTTATTGTTTGAGTAATTAAGATATGTTAGGATTTATTCGACATTAGATCTTGTTCAACACGTTTTATTGTTTGTTACTCTCTTTATGTAGTTTGCCATACATTGTACCATGTGCAATTGTCGTGCAATAAAGTTCTTCTTCATAAAATTTACTTGCTGTGGCCTTATTGCCAAATCCATTGCTATGCCTACCCTCGATGATAGACGTCACTCGAGAGTCCGAAGTCGGAGATCTTGACCACGAGTCCGTCCCCGACAAGCACGTTCCTCGCCGCCAGGTCACCGTGGATGAACCGCTTCTGAGCAAGGTACTCCTGTCAACGATTGAAGCAGATTGTTACGGAAGTGCAGTTCTGTGTGTGTGCGTGTTTGTGTGTGTGTGTGTGTGTGTGTGTGTGTGTTTGTTGTGTGTGTGTGTGTGTGTTGTGTTGTGTATTGTGTGCGTGTATTGTGTGTATTGTGTGTGTGTGTGTGTGTGTCTGTGTGTGTGTGCGTGTGTGTGTGTGTATTGTGTGTGTGTGTGTGCTGCGCGTGTGTGTTTTCTGATGTCAAAGCCATCATTTATGTATTTACCTTATTTTGCATTGTGGGAGTTATAAATCTGTTAGTGACATCTACAGTAGTCTTCGAAATCAGCTGTATACGCCCAGGTGTTGAGTTTGGAAAATATAATGTGTTCTATCCAGAACCGTGCTTTATCCAGAACCATGCTCAAGCACATTTCTGGATACATGTAGTCCACCTACCCTTCACCCATTTAGGCATATATAATCCAAGGTAGGTAATCTCAAAGCAGATCCAGGTGCAGATCATACGGTGTCAAGGAAGTATCCATTAGCCATCGGGTCGCCAATGGATACTGTCTGGCCAATGGATACTGCCTGGCGAATTTGATACTGTCTTTTGCGGCCACCGAAAGATCTGCTTGGAGAATACTAGTCTATACCAGACGAACTACGCTGGCTATATATATATAGGAGAATATTTGCCGCGGGGCTGCCTTGGGGTTTGACTGGGCCGTGCAGTTACAGAGGGAAAGAAACTACCTCCCCGCGGCCGGACTCCCCTGGCCCACTTCATTCCCTTTTTTGCCGAATTCTACGATCCGTATTCCCGTAGAAAGGCCTGGCGGAGGCTAGAAGAATACTAGGTACGTAGGCACGCATTGTACATGTACATGTGACATGTAGGTCCTTACCATGCCCCTCGCCACCTGACGGGCCACCTGGTACACGCCTTTCTCCTGGAACTGGAAGATCGGGTCGTCTTGCTGGGCCGCTGGCTGTAGGGTGGACAAGAAAGGGTGCTTATGTCAAGTACGTACAAAGTAAATAATCGACCGTGGCTGACAATGAAGTTTCATAATGCTAACTTTGTATCAGACATGTATCATTTCTATATACCTGCATTTCTGTAAGCCTGCCAAAAGGCCAAGAGAAAACGTTTTAGAATCTGTTCTTACAGTTTAAAAGATATAAAGGTGTAGGTTCGTGTAGAGATACGGATACAGATGTACATGTATGTACATCTAAAGTAAAAGGTATAGTTACAAGTGAAGTTGTGCATATGCATGTACGGATACGGAAAGAGGTACACATACAGGTCACGTTACATAAAAACAGGTACAGATACAGGTGCAGAAACCGATACAAATACAGCTACAGGTTCACAGGTAGGAAGATAGCTACAACTACTAGTACGCACAGAAACTAGCAGTCTATCGTGGTTGAGGCGGGCTCTCCTCGGGGCTTCAGTAGTTTTCACCCGCCCAGCTCAACTGGCCGTCCGGTGGGAGTTTAGCGTTGTGTGCGGCAGGAGTTGATTAGCCCCACCATGAATCGTGATGTCGATGGATGGACTATGAAATCCCTACCGGGGAGCCGAGTTGAGTCGGGCTACTGCAGCCCCGAAGAGAACTCGCCCCATGGCCCAACCACATGCAGAGATGCAGGTTGAGGTACAGATAACTACGCTGAAACAGGTACATGTATTACCTGGCGACAGTCCCAGAGGAAGTGCAGCAGGTCTCCGTACGGCATGTACTCCACCACCAGGTACAGTGGGTCCGACATGGTGCAGCACCCGCGCATGCTCAGGATGTTCGGGTGTGGCCCCATGTCCAGGATGGTCTGGATCTCATCCAGGAAGTCCTGCCGCTGCTCATTGGTCGGGTGGTCTGTAAGGGAGGCGCCCATTGGTCAGTATATAGTGTCTGTACAAGACGTACGTGTTTCGTCATATGGGTCGAATTCTGTTGATCAACTTATTCCGAGGTCACATTTCTAAACCGGGGCCCGGCCGGGCATTCTTATGGAACGAAAATTATGATAAAAAAAGACAACAAAGCACAAAAAAAGTTGAAAAATTAAGAATGGGAACTATCTGTGTATATTCTTGACAAAAATTGTTGATTTTTCGTTAATCGAAACAGCCCGGCCGGGCCCCGGTTTGGAAATGTGACCTCAGCTTTACCGTTTACGTGTACACGTATAATTATCAAACCGAGAAGACAACACCTGATTGTTACATACGTATGCTACTACACCAAAACAATGCTGGTTTAGCAGACGCATCAACAACATACAGCTATATCCCTCACAGCTTCCACCCTCAGGCGTCGCCAAAATGTTTTGCCGTATCCCTCACCTGGTAGCGTCTTGACGGCGACCGTTACCGGCAGCGGGTTCTTGTCCAGCCCCACGGCGGTGGCGCGGAACACCAGCCCGAAGGCGCCCTTCCCGATCGGCTCCTTCTCCACCTCCAGTAGGCCGCGGCTCAGCTCCCATTTGCCGAAGTCGTGCTTAGGGCGGGGCGCCACGGGCGGCTTCCAGTCTAGGGGCAATGTGGGATTACGTACTGTCATGTAAGTACAATGGCATCATTTAGCTAGCCTCTAGCAGGCTTTGGGAGACGACTAGAAAGAGTAGAAATTTGCCAAATAGAGAGAAAAAATGCCAAGGGAGTCGGTCCAGTAGAGTACAGTTTGTGCGGCAAAATGTACATGTACTCTCTAGTGGACCAATTGTCTTGGTATGTTCTCTCTTTTCGGCCATTTTTTACTCTTTCTAGCCGTCTCCCGAAGCCTGGTAGAGGGTATAATTTACATGTAGCTGCTGCCATCACATCTTTGTGTAAACAAGCCGACGGAGTATATATTATGTTTTTCTCTCCTTTATGCAGTTCAAGTGAGTGGTGCTTGAATTCTAGCCTCCGAGACGACAAAAGAGACTCAGCAACCAAAGTATCTTTGGAGTTATATCCAGTCCTTTTTTCAGGAATTTAGCGTTACTATCAGATGGATTTTTTTAAGTAATTGTCTCTTTCGTAGCAGTAATACATGTATTCAATTCGTATAGAATGGCAGGCGTGACCTAAATCTGGATCCCGAACTTCAGCCAATCTTTGTCGGTTGGTGGTCAAGGGAAGGTTCTGAGTGTGTGGAAGAGGCTTTTAGCATCCAAATAGACTAAACCCGGGGGCACTCACCGGACTTCGGCATGAGCGGGAAGAAGGTGAGGCCAGTGTAGGTCTTGGAGCCGTTCCGATGCCTGCGGCACAGACACACGGCCACGGCGGACCCGACCAGCAGCACGGTGGCGACTGACAGGGCGGGCAGGACCGACACCAGCACCGAGCCGCCTGGGCTGGCGTTACGGTCGTCCTTCCACGCCTTCCCTCCCGGCCACGACGGGCACCGATCTGGAACATACCGCGGGCAGGTCAACATACACGTACTACAGAATCTACTATCATAGAGCCACAGAATCTACTATTCAAAGAGCCACAGAATCTACTATCACAGAGCCACAGAATCTACTATCATAGAGCCACAGAATCTACTATCATAGAGCCACAGAATCTAATATCATAGAGCCACAGAATCTACTATCATAGAGCCACAGAATCTACTATGATTATAGAGCCACAGAATCTAAGTACTATCATAGAGCCACAGAATCTACTATCATAGAGCCACAGAATCTACTATCATAGAGCCACAGAATCTACTAATCATAGAGCCACAGAATCTACTATCATAGAGCCACAGAATCTACTATCATGTAACGTTAACTCGTCCTACCCACCAATCATTATTGCTCCATATTAAGTATCCAAATGGGCAGTATGATATTGATGATGACTATTACTCCATATTGACCACTTTTTGTATCAACTTTTCTACCGTCACCATTACAGATAAGGTAGTGTTTAAAGAAACTTTGAGATGTCATACTTTACAGTTGTGGATAAAGTACTCAACCAGATATAATAGTTTATATAGTTTATCTGTATCGCTTCGACTTATCTTTAATAACATGTACCTGTGCTCGACAGGGTAGTGTTGAAGGTAAGCAGGCCTCTGTTCCCATACGGCGAAGAATTGGGACTGGTCACGTTCACCTGAGGGGTAACCTGCAAACACACAACATCTGCATTTATATTTCCGAAAATAATTTCATCAGGTTGGTAGAACTTAGGAGACAGTTAGTTCTTTTTACACAACCGGTAACTTCTCACACCTTCTTCAGAGCTTCTGACTGGAGTACTGCATCTCGCCACGTTTGGGATAGTGTTCTCGCCGCAAAAGCGCCACCTACATCGGCTACATATAGCGGCGAGATGCAGTACTCCAGTCAGAAGCTCTGAAGGTGTCTGACAGACACCGAAACGTCAGCAAGGTGAGAATTTACCGGTTGTGTAAAAAGAAATACCTGTCTCCATCTGCCTCTATAATTAGAAGCCACCCATATGCATTCATAACCACAAAAAAACAGATACATCTTTACAAAAAACAGATACATCTTTACATCTTATTATTACCAAAGAACGAACAAGGAATATGTGACATCAAAATGCTGCGACCAAACAAAAAAGGCTAGTATTACAACAATTAATAGACGAAAAAAAAATGACATTGAGACATCTTTGTAGTGGAACTAGGCGTGAAGCTCTTGCAGCAACGTAACATTAACAACATGCATTCGTTAAAGTCTCCACCAGACTTCTTTTGCGGGGTGAATAAATCGTAGAAATCGGCCTAAAAAGGGTATTAATTGGCCAGAGAAGGTAGCCGGCAAGAGAAGCTCCATCTTCTGAGGCAAGAGAAGCTCCATCTTCTCTTGCCGGCTACCTTCCCTGGCCAATTAATACCCTTTTTAGGCCGATTTCTACGATTTATTCACCCCGCAAAAGAAGTCTGGTGGAGACTACATTCGTTACAAGTTCTCCGAACGCTGACCTGTAAGAGGAAGGATTCGCCCAACTTGAGGTTTTCAATTTTGAAGTAGATGGGTTCCAAGTCGTCACGTGTCGAGTTCTGAAACATCACAGTAGGGTAGGCGTGGTTAATTCATTATTTATTTATTTATTAAAATTGCCAACAATACGATGCAATACAGTGGAAGCCCTGGCAGCTGAGCTGATGTCGGGACCCACATTATGAAATACATACATACATGAACATACACACATCATAACACAATTAAGTCACAAATCACAGAAATTTCTCATACCTACAATCCATAACCTAGGCTAATGACAGTATATAAAAAAGTAACACTTTAACTCAGTATGGTAGGAGGTCAGAGGTCATTCAAATATATAATATTCAATATTCAAAGTGTTGTAGGAATAGATGGAAGGACTAAGAGTTAGAAACGGTTAATTCATTATCACTGCGAATACACTCTCCTCTCATTCTCGTGGTAATCTAATTAATGTAATGTCACTGTTATATCTTTTCACAACGGGGACCTATATTTCGTGGTATACAACGGTGTCATCTCCTTAATGGTTTAACGTTAACGTTACATCTGGTCAGAGTCTGTCAGCAGACTGTTCCCGAACTTCAGACGACCTTGACAGACTTTCGGGGCAAGGTCGGGAGAAGGTGCTGAGTGTGTGGCAGGGGCTTTTCTTGCTGTTTAAAGTTAAAACTTTTGGTCAACCCAGTCTTATGAGGAAGACCAGAGTGACTGGTCGAAAGCGTTAGGTCTGGTGAGAGAACGTTTTGTGTTGGACCATTAGTTTTTAAACATTTGACATAAACAACGTCACTGACAACACCTTATGTTCAGTCATTCTCAGGGGTAACCCCTCATTGTCGTTTGTCAACAACTGTAAAATATTTGATGTGGTTTTCAACTTTATTTTGCAGACAGGACGTTTTGTTTGATTTAGTTGATTGATTTTCATTTGTACACCAGCTCATTATGTACCTTTGTCATGTGTTCTTCTTTTTATTATTATTACTTTGTTTTATTGTTTCCTTTTATGTGTGAGGAGAGGGCTGAGATAAGTTTTATAACTTTTTGCCCAATCCTCGAAAAATTAATGTGAATAAAATAAATAAATAAGTTTTAAAATGTAACTACCAACACAGGTGAACTTTCATGATTGTTGCTATCATTGCTGTTGCCTAAGTCGTAATTACCTCTCCCACAAACTCTTTAAACTGCGCGTCGGCCAGCCGGTCGCCCATCTCCAGGCGGATGACGTACTGGACGATGCCGTGCCCGCGCTTCACTTGGACGGGCCGGAGCCACGAGATGAACGCCGTGAACGAGGCGCCGTCTGTGCGGTTCTGACAGCTCAGACCCAGCAGGGTCATGTTAGCCGGCTCGCTGGAGAACACCACGGCTAGAGATGTAAGAAACGGTGTGACGATGTTATAATTGAGAATTTAAAAAAACAACAACAGTAATACACTACTCTTATTTATTCATCTGTATGTGTTGGGAGTAAGTGGTGTAATTTTGGGCCTCCTATCAGCTTGTTTGAAACTGAAAAGGGCAATTTTGTTTCTAGCTTTTCAAATCAATAACCCGAGAAAGAGTTGATGAATTTCCATTGTTCTACGTTCTTAAGTAATAATAAACAGAAGTAGAGGGCCATTCATAATTGCGTTGAACGAGGCAATGTCAACCTATAATAAGGAACAACATTAACACCTGGGCCCCACTTGCACTCATAATTTGCCAGTTGTAAATTTTAACATTGTTTTGGCTAAGGTATTAGGTCCTGGAACTCCAGTTTCATAATATCATGTGTAAGGAAACAAGTACGACTACCGGAGGACTAAACAGTCACTAGTCAATGAAAAAGATTCAGGGTGGTTACGGGAAACCTATCGGCCATCATTCTAAACGCTAATTTATTTCTTTGTTGTTTATTTCAGGCTCAATTGCCCATAGCACAGACACACAAGATTACACAAACACATCTAAAATAAAACATCTAAGTGAGTACAAATAGATAAAAGACTGTCGAGCCCTTACGGTGGGCGGACCAGTCTACAGTACTGGCTCCAGAAAGGACTAAAGCAGAAGGTCTCCGAGCGGAGCAGCAGTTTTTAGACATGTCAGACGCTAACAAACGCGAAGCAAAGGAGTACAACAACTTCCGGCGCCTGGTATCAAACGTGTCTACACGCGTCTGTACAAATAGGTCGCTGTTACTAGTACTCCTAGGCTGAGACAGTAGGATTTTAAGACCATCGTGATAAGCAACTCGTAGCCTAAGTTGTACTTACGTTGGTTTTCACAAAACTCTCGATCGCCCGTGGAGGAGTAGCAATCTGGTGAGAAAAGAAAAACAATTGTGACAGCTGGTGGCAAAATGTAGTCAACAATCAACATCACTCTAAAAACGGTCAAAATTTTGCAAAATAATTGATTTTAAAATATGAAAATTTCGGTTATTATCAATTATTACTAGTACACCCTCCTCTAAAAATTTCATGACCATACGATATACCGTTCACAAGTTCTGAGGGGGGGGCGAATGAGCCCCCCTCCCGCCCCAAAGATTTAAAAAAAGGCCCAGTCTAAATAGAGTTAAGGTTGTTTGTCTTCATAAACATACAAGATTATGTTTGTACCCTTAAAAGCGTACAAACAGCATCTTTTATTGGTAACTACATGTACTATATTTAGCGGTACAGATGATACAAACCCGCGGTCAAAAATCTGTAATTCGCTTCGTTTCCAGAGTGTCCTCCATGAAGAACGATAATCTGAGTGAAAGAAAAAAACAGAGCTTATTAGGTTTTTGTCAGCATTTTAAAGTACCATTTCGTGTATTCATTTTAAAGAATCATTTCGTGTATTCAACACAAGAAATTTGTCACTGTATGTATCTTTAAGTTCAGGGTCAAAGTTCGGCAGATGGTTTGTGTGTGAGTAAAGAGACTCTTTTTTTACACAACCGAGTCTTTTATTCATCCGACGTTTCGGTGACCGTCTGTCATCTTCTCAGGGCCATTCTGACTGGTTCTCCAAGCAGATCCCATATATAAAAAGCTAACGCGATCCCCCACGACCTCTGCTTGGAGAGTACATTGAGGTTGAAAAAGAAGAATACAATACCATGAAGAGGTATCATCTCCCTTTAGCTTCTCCCCACATTGCATTGCAGCACAGGTGTCGCTGCTACAGATGCATTCCCAAATGTACAATATCTACATATCTACACATATGCGTGATTGGATTACAGGGAAATGTCTGTACAATGCGTTCCCAAACGTGCGGCTGAATAAAAGACTTGGTTGTGTAAAAAGAGTCTCTTTACTCAGTGTCTTACCAGCCTGATGAAACTATTCACGGAGGTCTGTGTGTGGTGGGAGATTTGGAGTCTTGGCCCTGCTTCGGTTCAAATACATTACGTTGTTATACAAATATGCCGAAACCCAACCACTACGTACATTACCTGTTTGAACGTTTAGAAGTTGCTGTTCAACTTTAAGTGAGACGTTGTTTGAAGGCTACCCAAGAAAATTCACTGTCTGTAGTACTTGCCTTAAAGTCGTACTCGTGTGACCACAGGATGTCGTCATACTCATAAGTGATCGATTCTGCGTCCTGCAATGTCACATGGATTCATTAGCAACTGTGTTTCATAATAATTAATGAATGAATGAATGAAGACCTTTATTGTACGCAAATACCCACTGGGTTCAGTACAGGTCACAGAAAAGACATCACAGTTTGCAATGAATATATACAATGTACAAGCTAGCGCTAATTCTATGTACTATGGACATATAGTCTAATCATTACGATAATTTAGCTTCTTCTCGCTTCTTAGTAATGATGTAGATATAAGTACAGATGTGTTTTATGATCGAAGGTTTGTCTAAAGCCATTAGAAATATGAACTTATCTGTGTTGCTAAGATGTATGAAATGGGGAAACATACATTGTAATAGTTTATAAAGCTCAGCTCTCTCTTCGTTGTATAAACTACATTCTAATACAAAGTATTCCTTATCCTCTATCCTACTTACTATAATTTAGATTACAATGCTTACATATTCGTTGCTCCAGGGGAGTGCGGTTATGGCGTCCGGTTTTAATGTGTAGTTTGTGGCAGCTTATCCTGAGTTTTGTATGGACCGTATCTCCACCATTGATATCGGCAGTTACTATACTATACGATACGATACGATGCGACTTTATTGGTTTATCGCAGATTACAGAGACTGAATTAAAAACCAATTTACATGAATAATTTTCAACATTACAGACATATATATTTACAAGCTTCCAAGTTTTAAAATTAGCGTAATTGAAAGGTATACGGAAGAACATCACGAATAACATATTACGTTGTCCGATTTTAAATTCACTTTACATAGTTTGAAAACAGTTCTAATGGAGGTTATGCACTTTCAGGGCAGTAAAACTGGATATATTGATTGGTGTCTCCAAAAAATTAAGGGCTATTTTAAATGCTTCAAGTGTGAAAATAAAGACGAAACAAAGATATGGCACCAGTGTCAATGTCAGACAAATTTTCTCATCCAGAGTATTTCTGATTTTTTTTTGCCGCCCGAAATTGAATTGGACGCCTTTAAGACTGTATTACACTACCGGCTACGCGAAAAGGCGTTATTCTTCACGTCGATTTGTTTGTTTAATTGGTTGTTTCGTATAACCGCCTTTAGGTGTAACACATCAGTTTTGTACATGTGCGTACATGTACAAGCTGCGTAAGGCCGGACTGTAAGGTTTGAACCACTCACACCGGGAAGGTCCCCTACTCTTTTCGATAAGTGCGGTGGTGTGGGACCTCCATTTAACGTCCTATCCGAGGGACGTCCCTAACCGAAGCTAGGTACTCATTACCACCTGAGTGAAGTGAGGAAAGTCCTGTAAAAGTGCCTTCCCCAAGGGCACAAGATCGGTGACATGGGCAGGATTCGAACCCGCGACCTCTTAGGTGTGAGCCCTACGCGCTACCGACTGCGCCACACGACCCAATGATTGAGCATTGAACACATTGAGGATTAAAAAGCAGAATATAGTACCGTGAAGACGTATCCTCTCCCTTCCAGTTTTTCCCGCTCGGTCTGAGGGATGATCGGAAAGTCGGGAAAGCCGAAGTCGGGGAAGAGGGGGAAGCTGAAGTTGGGGTTAAATTGTTCGAAATCAAACGAGTCTTGAGTATCGTCGAATAGCTTGGTCAGTTTCACCATGTAACCTTCCAGTTCGCTTCCAGTTCCTGAGAAAAACATACAGTATATTGAAAGTAATTGGCTACTTAGTGGGTGACTGGTTCGTTGGTGCTGGAGAGA